AACAGGAATGAATGAACTAGCACAGAAATCAGTACAAGTAGTAAACCCTAGAATTGTGTACCCCCTATAGGCTAACCCACTGTAGCCTACACTAGCACAACATATATAATGTTTGACACTGGATGTACTGGAGTTGCTGGAGCTGGTGGTACTGGAGGTGATGGAGCTGGGGGTGCTGGAGCTGCTGGAGCTGCTGACGGTACGGGGCGCGGCGCCGACCGTTTTTCTACCCGCAGCCGCAGTTGTCCCTACTACCACCTTGCTCGGCACTTCGTCAGGTTCTTAGTCTTCCGTCTTCCAGTGGCCTTACTCCGCCTCATGTGTCTTCCGCCTGACCAATCACAGCCGCAGTTACTGCCTGGCTCTCCATTATCTGTTCATTCTCCCTACTTTGCACACACAGGCTGTCAAGAATAATATATATTTCTATATATTGTTTTGTAACTGCCTGTAGTGTAGACTAGTGTAGTTATATAATGTTCTGTTTTGGTGGTGCACCTTTCATCTTGCCTATATGTACTGCTCGCTCTATAGTGAAAACCCTTCTTCTCTTTTCAATTTTCTCGACTCTCCTAAACTTACTCGAACTCAACTAGCTATGGCTCCTTAGCCTAGCTAAGCTTTTGACACAGGCTTCCTGGCAGAGCGTCATGGGCCTGAGTCTCGTTCTGCTTCCCCTGTTCGCACGGTTAGTCGTGCTTGTCGTTCTCGTCATCCACCTGTCCCCGGCACGCACACTATGGCACTTCGTCCTTCCTCTGTTCCACAGCATGTTGCTCTGACGTCTCCTCCGACGTCCTCTTTTCCTTACATTCCTGACCCTGACTCCGACCTTGCTCGTGCTGCCAGTCCTACTGTCACTCGTCTCCTCGTTATTGTTGTCACTGACCCTTCTTTTAAGTCTACTGCTGCGCTTTTCCTAGTCACTGAGCTAGTCAACTTTGGTGCTACCCGTCGTCTCGAATACGTCGCGAGTCTTGTTACTGAGTCTGAGTCTGTCTCTCCTCCGTCCGTCTGGGGTGAGCTTGTTCTCAGCTGTGACCTTGGGGACACGCAGTTTGAGCTTGGTTGTTTTGCGGCCGTTTTACCCCGTTTCGCGAACATGTTGCTTTGCCCTTATGGAGATCCGGATGCACTGGAAATCCCCACCCCACGCTCTTACACAGAGGCGATCTCGGGTGAGTAATCCTCATAGTGGCAGATAGCCATGGACGCAGAGATGGCATCCTGGAAGTCCACAGGCACCTACCTTGACGAGGTTCCCCCCCTGGGGCGAACATAATCGAAGGCATGTGGATTTTCAGAGTGAAGTGGCCGCTGGGTCTCCGCCTGCCTTCAAGGCGCGCTACGTTGCTCGAGGCTTCAGTCAGCAACAGGGGGTCAACTTCTTCCAGACCTTCTCCCCCACCCTGAAGATTACCACTCTTCGGGCGTTACTGCACGTTGTAGCACAGCGTGACTACGAAATGCACTCCCTCGAGTTCTCCACAGCTTTCTTGCAGGGCAGCCTGGGAGATCTGGCTGCGCTGCCCACCTGGCTTCACTAGGTCGTATCCTGAGGGTACTCAGTGGAGCCTCCGGCGGCAGTCTACGGTCTCCGCCAGGCGCCCCCCGAGTGGCACGACACACTGAGGACGACACTTGCGGCTCTTGGGTTTGCTCCTTCGACCGCTGAACCATCACTGTTTCTGCGCACCGACCCCTCTCTGCCGCCGTTCTACATCCTCGTGTACGTCGACGAACTGGTCTTTGCTACTACCGACACCGAGGCGCTGACCCTTTTGAAGGCGGAGCTGCAGAAGAGACATACTTGCACTGACATGGGTGAGCTGCGTAGCTATCTTGGTCTGCAGGTCACCCAGGACAGAGCACGGTGCACCATCACTCTGACTCAATCACACATGGTGCACCAGGTCCTTCAGCGCTATGGCTTTCAGTTCTCCTCGCCACAGTCCACTCCTCTGCCTACAGGCAACTCGCTCTCAGCTCCACCTTCGGCCGAGTCCTAGCCGGGTGGCCCGTATCCAGAGCTTGTGGGCTGCCTCATGTACCTGATGACGTGCACACGACCTGACCTCGCGTACCCTCGCAGCATCCTTGCACGCTTCGTCGCCCTCAGGAGACACATGAAGGAAAAGCTGCGCAGAGGGTAATGCGTTACTTGTGCAGTACTTTGGGCATGGGGCTCGTGCTTGGAGGACTGGGTCCAGTGGTACTCACAAGACACCCAGACAGTTCTTGGGCCGATGACCAGGCGACTCAGCAGTCGTCACAGGGTTACTCTTTCAGTCTCGGCTCTGGTTGTCTCGCGGAGGTCCACTCGTTCGTCTTCTGTGCTGAGGCCGAGATCTACACTGGGGCCATGGTTGCACAAGAGTTACGATGGCTGACCTACCTTCTGGCAGACTTGGGTGAGCAACCTCATTCTCCTCCAGTTCCGTACGTCGACAACAAGGTCATGATTGCGTTGTGTCACGAGCAGAGACTAGAGCACAGATTGAAGCAAATTGCTCTTCATTACTTTCTTGCTTGGGAGCTGCAGCAGCGTGGTCAGCTGCGCCTTGTTTACATGGCCTATCGGGCCAACACTGTTGATGTCTTTGTTGGAATTAAGGTTAATTCGGTTTGCTCCAATAAACATATGTAGTGGTACATCTACACTATAGTAGTGTGGAATACATTGGTTGGGTTGGGAGAACTTGTGGTGTACACTCTTTAGAGTGGACCACCTCCCAAACCCTATAGGTTAGGGTTCTCTCTTGTTGGAATAGGAGCTACTCAAGAAGTTTGATCATAACACCTTGGTGGAAGCTAAATAGCTTCCATCCCTCCCGAAGGGCTGCCGAAATTGCACCGTGACGGACACTGGACGTGGGAGGGGAGGAGGAGAGAAGAAAACTGCTGGAAATCGTGTGGATCCGTTCGGGAGGACGAGAAGAGCGACATCCATTCACGGAGGCGCTCCGTCAACTTTGGCCGATCAAGACGTGCAGCATACCGTTGGAAAGGGCTCGTCACGATCTACAACAATTGCCTCGGGGTCGTTGCCAATCGACGAGCGGATCGGACGCAATTCGCGAAATACAGTCGGCGGACGAGTTGGAAAATCGCGAATCGGGGAAGATTTAAAGCGCGGGAAAACAATTGGAGGCCAGACGCCGACAGAGGAGGCCAGGGGGCATCCAACAAGCCAAAAATCGGGAGAAACGGTCGAGTCTTCGTCGACGGGAAATCGGCCAACTTCGACGAGTTTAAGCGGCCAGCTCGGACGCGGGATCCAGAAGCACGATACATCATCGGAACGGTCTCGGAGCAAGGATTCATCTGAGCCAAACGGCTCATCATTCGGAGGTTCGAGCGCGGAGTTACGCTCCAAAAACCAAGAGGGGGCAAATCTGTCCACATCGTCTCCACCGCCGCCGCCGTTGCCTCCACCTCCACCTCAACGTCAACCTCCAGAGTGTCTGCTGCAAATGGATCATGACTCAAGCGAAGGGAAGCTGGAGAGTGCGCCAAAGTTCGACGGGAGCGACTATTGGACTTGGAGCTTCCGATTCGAACAATGGGCAGAGGCGCACGATCTATGGGGGTACTTTGATGGTTCGGAGGAGCGGCCTGCATCAGGTGACGCACGGCTGAAGTGGGAGAGGAAAAATCAGAAGGAATTCGCTCAATTCTGCAATGCCTTGGTGCCAGATGAGCTAATTCGCTTGGTACGGGAGTTCGGCGGCAAGACCGAGTTGGGCAGCGCACCTGTTGATGGCGGAGCAAGAGCGGTCACCCGAATTCCTGCAGGCACAGCAGCGGCATAGATACGAGTGAAAGAGTTCTACTTTCAGCGTGGATTGTGTAACCGGATGGCACTCTCTGAGGAGCTCTCTTCATTGAAGATGAAAGAGGGGGAGGGGGTGGCTGCATACTGGGCGCGTGCCGAGGACTTGAGGTCCAAGTACTTGGCTGCAGGAGGAAAGGAGGAGGTTGAGGAGTGGATGATGAGGGTACTCAAAGGACTACCTCCTCACTTTGAGATGCTGAAGGTGGTGCTGAACAACCAGTCATCATCGCTCACTAAGGATCAGCTGCTTACCTCCTTGAGGAGCGAGGGGATGCGGATTGGTGTCGCACCAAGATCGGATGGTGTAGCCACCTTTGGAGCGGGCATGAAAGTGGGCAGCAGCGGCAGGGGAAATTGGGACAAGGGAGGAAAGCATGGAGGCAGCGGTAGCAGCAGTGACACCAACTCGGGCAGATGGGGTCAAGGGAAAGGCAAAGCGGGAGTGCTTGATTTCCCCTGGGGGTCCAAGGGCATGGCTCCTCGGGGGTTGTGTCATGGCTGTTGGGATGAGGGACATGCATGGCAGCGATGTCCTCATCGACCTAAAGGAGGCATTCCGGCATTCCTAAAGCGGGGGGGTCGTGGGTCCAACGGCAAGGCACAGGTGGCGGATGAGGAGGAGCAGGATGACAAGGCAGAGGCAGTGGTTCGAGAGGCAGTTGCAGCAGTGGGAGAGGAGCAGCCGCGAGAGGGGTGGTGGATTGACAGTGGGGCCAGCCACAACTTTACTCCTTATGCATCGGACTTCAAAAGTAAGCTTCAGCCACCAGAGGTTCGGGGAGTTAGATTGGGAGATGGACGGGTGGTGAAAGCTGTTGGCATGGGTGAGGTGCCAGTGGTTGGTGCTGGAGGTCAGCTGCTGAGGATTTAGAAGGTCCACCTTGTGCCTGAGATGCACACGCGTCTGCTGTCAGTCCCACACCTCACCTCTCGAGATGTCATTGTCACATTCAAGGGCAAGAACTGTGTCCTTAAACGGGGGGAGCGGGTGTTGGCGATTGGAGAAAAGGAGAGGGGAAGGGACCATGGATTGGTGCGGATGTTTCTTCCTCTTGCTCGAGGCACACAAGGCAGTGCTCTTGCAGCTGGGTCCTCCTCCTCATTTTCCCCATTGACCCTTGCCCATCGCCGCCTTGGTCATACCGCCCCCACAACATTGCAACAGATGGCTCGAGGGAACAGTGTACTGGGCTTGGAGATTGGGGGGGGGAGCACTGATTGCTCCCCATGTGAGCCTTGCTTATTGGGAAAGTCGGCTCGGAAGCCGTTTCCCCATGAGGCGTCTCGGGCACTTGGGCCTTTGGATGAGGTCCACATGGATTTGTGGGGGCCAGTGCGCACACCGTCACTGGGAGGAGCGGTGTATGTCCTCAGTCTCATTGACGACTTCACCAGACGAGTTTGGTCATTCCCCCTCCCCAACAAGGAATCGACCACAGTTGCAAAAGTCCTTCGCCAGTGGCATAAGGACGTGGAGTTGGAGTGTGGGCGGAAGCTGAAGGCTGTTCGCTCGGACAGGGGTGGCGAGTTCTTGGGGGAAGCTGTAAAGGCATGGAAGGTGGAGTTTGGCATTAAAACTCAATTGAGCGTCGCAGATATACCGCAGCAGAATGGTGTTGTGGAGAGGTGGCACAGGACGATGGCAGAGGGGATTCGCACATTGTTGGTCGACAGTGGTCTCCCTGCTCGCTTGTGGGGTGAAGCATTGATGTGGGTCGTGTGGGTTAAGAACAGGGTCAGCCACAGTGCTTTGCCTGCTTCCATCACACCAATGGAGGCGTGGTCCGGCCAGAAGCCGCATGTGGGCATGGCTCGGATTTGGGGTTGCATGGGGAGTGTCATGCTGCATGGGCATGAGAAGGGTGGCAAGCTTGATGCACGGGCTGTCATGTGTGTCTGTGTTGGGGTGGACATGGAGAGCAAGGGTTGGCGCATGCTGGACCCTTCTCTCATGCGCATTCGAATTGCTCGGGATGTTGATTTTCTTGAGAATGTGATGTGGAAGGATTGGGACAAGGCAAAGGGATATGGGGAGCTTCTGCAGGATGCCGCTGAGATTTCCCAACTCCTCCCTCTTCCACTCTCGTCACCCTCAGCACCGGTTGACGACGCTGAGATGCCACCTTCATCACTGCCACCGGCCCCGCTGAGTGTGTCGGTGCAGCAGCAGCCCACCCCTCTGCAGCAGCTCAGTGGCCCCTCGGTCATTCAGCAGAGATCCGCTACACAGGCTACTTCCTCTTCCTCCTCCTTTGGTCAGCGCTCTGCCCCTCTCTCTATGGGTGCCCCTACGTCACCAGCGACTACCTCCCCACCACCGGTTACGGGTTTGCAGGTGCTTGGTATCCAGTCTGGTATAGGTGGTGAGGAGGTAGGGGGGGATGCTGGTGTGGTTGAGGGCATGCTGTGTTTGGCCAGGGAGGTGGAGGGTGTTGCACTAGCAGGTGTGAGCACCGGTGATGTCCCACGCACACTGGCTGAGGCCCTGCGTGGCCCTGAGGGCCCTGCGTGGAAGGCAGGCGCTGAGAAGGAGGTGAATGCAATGCGCACTATGGGTGTATGGGATCCAGAGCCGGTCGACTTACCTCCAGGTAAGAAGGCTATTGGGGTCAGGTATGTTTTCCGCAGGAAAACTGACAAGGAGGATAAGGTGGTACAGCACAAGGTTCGCCTTGTTGCTAAGGGGTACACTCAGGAGCCCGAGAAGGACTATGATCAGGTATTTGCTCCTGTGGGCAAGCTCACCTCAGGTCGGGTGCTTCTTGCAGAAGCCGCGGTAAAAGGGTGGCATGTACAACAGGAGGATGTTGATCATGCTTACCTCAATGCAGTCCTTCAAGAGGAGGTGTATGTGAGGCAGCCTGAGGGATTTGATGATGGTACAGGTAGGGTGTATCGCTTGCGCAAAGCTCTCTATGGGCTCAAGCAAGCGCCTCGTGCTTGGAATGAGGAGATTGGTACCACCCTGATTGCAGCAGGGTTTGACCGCAGTGCATGCGATGAGGCTCTGTACATCAGGTTTGTGGATGAAGAGCCAGTGTATGTATTGGTGTATGTGGATGACCTCTTGCTTGTGTCTCCACGCTTGGAGCTGATCGGTCAGGTCAAGGAGGTGCTTGATCAGAGGTACCACATGAAGGATCTAGGTGAGGTATCCACGTACCTTGGTGTGGAGGTTCGCAGGTCGGTCAAGGATGGGTGGTTGGAGATTGGTCAGGAGAAGTATGTCCGTGGTCTCCAGGGAAGGTTTGGTGATCTGCTGAAGGAGACCCATAGGGTGCATACTCGAATGTCACCCAATGATCTCTCTAAGATCAGGAATGGTACTTGGTCGACTGAGGAAGGTGTTGCAGCTGATGTCAAGGTGTACCAGAGTCTCATTGGCAGCTTGATGTATGCTGCTGTGACCACCCGTCCTGACATGTCCTTCACTGTCAACACCCTTGCACAGTCCTGCGTGGCACCAAGACGCATTCACATGCGCGCTGCACTGAGAGCACTCAGGTACTTGGTCGACACAGCTGATCGTGTCATCAGGTATGAGCGCCAAGGTGGTGAGCAGGTTGTTGGGTACACAGACTCAGATTGGGGTGGTGAGACTGATGGCAAGAGTCGCTCTGCCTACATCTTTAAGCTGGGAGGAGGAGCAATCAGCTGGTATAGCAAAAAGCAAGACAGTGTTGCAGCAAGCGTTTCTGAAGCTGAGTACAAAGCTCTATCGGAGGGGGCCAAGGAGGCCATTTGGTTGAGGAGTCTGTTGGCAGAGATGCATGTGGGGGATGGGGGGACTATTCCATTGCTCTGTGATAATGAGGCTGCTGTCTCCCTTGCCCACAATCCCGTTCTCCATCAGCGCACCAAGCACATTAAGGTGGCATGGCACTTTGTACGGGATGCGGTGCGCCAGCAGGAGGTCGAGGTGCACTCAGTACGCTCCCACCTCCAGGATGCCGACATGCTCACCAAAGCTCTTCCAAGCTTGCAGCTGCATGAGAACCTGGAGCGCATCGGTATGCGAGTGAGGGCTGCGAAGGCCAAGGCTTCATTCGCTGGAGGGGTTATGTTTTGATTTATGGGTGAACTTTAATGCTTATTGGAGCAAGGTGGGGTGTTGGAATTAAGGTTAATTCGGGTTGCTCCAATAAACATATGTAGTGGTACATCTACACTATAGTAGTGTAGAATACATTGGTTGGGTTGGGAGAACTTGTGGTGTACACTCTTTAGAGTGGACCACCTCCCAAACCCTATAGGTTAGGGTTCTCTCTTGTTGGAACTTCACTTCTTGGAAACCACTTTGGTTCTAGCATGGTTCATGCCCAAATGGGCTCCTAAGATTCCTAGGCTTTAGGAGGAGGTTCTAAGACTACTAAAGCTTCCGCTAGTAGCTTAGTCCATTCTAATAGTCTTCACCAAGGCCCTTCGGTCTAGTGATCATCAGCGTTTCTGCACTGCTCTAGGCCATGTGCCTACTCTGCCTCACCTACTAGTTGCTTGACTTGTTTTGTACTGTGATCTGTATGTATATATATATATATATATATATATATATACACCAGCATGCTAGCACTTGCTAGGTTGTGATCACTCTACTGCTTGTGTTTTCATAACTCTGCATGTGCACTGGCCTTGTGGCCGCTTACTTGTGCTCAGATTGCGTGGTGATCTTGAGATCCACCCTGAGTTTCGCCTTGCTTTGTTCTCTTGCTTGACTGGTCTTGTGACCGTACGTTGTGTTTGTTACCCCCCACTTTGCCTGTGGGGGTGTGTCAAATTGCATTTGTTATCTCTAGGCTATAGTGGGGCATACTCTAAGGAGTACAACATTATAGATCATTCCTATTAGTAAATGTGCTAATTTTGACAAACAACCGAGATGGAATGAAGCATGATGCCTTTACTAGTAAGCAAGCTTTCACATTTGTAAATTGTAAGGCTTGTCCTTGACATGATGACTTTTATTCATCACATTTTTTACATCATGCAGTGCAAACAATAGTGTACACGGACCAGCCCCAGAATTTGTTCCTTGTCCATTCATAACCATAAGACCCTACCAGGCTCCCTACCACTACGCAGGTAGGCCCACAGAGCGTCCAAGTTTCGGCTTGGGCCTTGGAGGAGACCCCTGGGATGGCCCGCGGCCAAAGCGCTTGCGGAACCACTTGACAAAGTCAGACATGGGGCGTGGCACCACCGGGGGGAGCGGTGGTGGGTTGGGGCGCCCAACCGATGGGTTGGGGGGAGGGGGGGATGGCGGAGTGGGGGGGGGTGGAGGAGGAGAAGGAGGAGGGGGTGATGGAGGAGGAGGAGAAGGTGGGGGGGATGGAGGAGGAGGAGAAGGTGGGGGGGATGGAGGAGGAGGAGAAGGGGGTGGAGGGGACGGGGGAGATGGTGGTGGGGAGGGGGGAGAAGGGGGTGGGGAGGGAGGAGGAGGAGAAGGCGGTGGAGGACTAGGAGGGGGAGGGGATGGTGGAGGAGAGGGAGGAGGAGGAGGAGACGGGGGAGGAGGCGGAGGTGGTGGGAAGGGAGCGGAGAGGAGGCAGCGGTTGTTGAGGGTGCGGTCCCAGTTGCCTTGGATGAGGAAGCGCTCGCCGTTGAGCCCCTGGTGGTTCCACGCCACCATGCTGCGATTCGCCGCCTCCACGTGCAGCTCCTCGTACCCTCCAAACCTGCCATACACCACACCGCTCCTCAGCACACAATGTCAAGAAAGCTGCTAGGCGCAAGGTGATCAGAAGACAGAGCAGGGCAAGGGGCGATGAGGGCGAGGAGCAGGGGTGCGATGACACACCAGCCGTAGCACTTCTGAGCGTTTTCGTAGGAGTTGGAGTCGGACCAGGTCCTGAGGTCCCAGTTGGTGGTGGTGGCCGCCATGTGGTACGCCACCTGGTTCACCAGCCCGTCCACCGGCGCCACACCGTGCGGCACCTGCCAGTAGTTGAACACCTCCGTTGGCGCCCCACACCGGTTGCACTGCACGCCACAGGGGGGCCACAGGAGAGAATGATTGGTTGCATGCAGCGCATGGAAGATGCAGCATGGGAGGCAATGGCAAGTACTGGAGCATGGATGCGATGGTGGGCATGGCAGGAATCGTGGGCGCAGGGGTGCACGCACCATGTCAGTGGGGTCGGCGAGCCACACGAATTTGATGTTGGTGCTGTTGTACGAGAACCAGCTGTGCCAGGAGCAGTAGTCCACGCAGTAGGCCTTGGTGGCGTCGTTGCGCAAGCCCGTCTGGGCGATGGTGTTGGCGGTCACCAGGAAGGTGATCTCGTTGGCGCTCAGGTTCAGCAGCCCCACAGCGATGGCGTCCCTCACCACGCTCAGGGTGGCGTTGTAGGTGAGCAGGTCCCCGCCCGCCACCACCAGCTCGCGCCCCAGCGTGATGTTGCCCGTCACGTTGCGCGGCACGTTGTTGGTGTAGCGCCGGTTGATGTTCCACCACAGCGGCACTGCACCCCCGTCACACACACGCGGGGCGAGGGGCGGAAGAGGAAGTCAGAAGCAGCCACAGATAGATTGGCCAACTAAGTCACAGGGTTACCTGCGAGACATTCACAAGGCACCAAGTGTTGGTGGGTGGGTGGCAGGCGACTCATGGACTCACGAGTGTTGGCGGGGTCGGAGGTGTTGGTGAGGCCGCGCACGAGGTTGCGCATGGCCTGCTTCGCCTCCTCTGCGATCGCCCCACCGTACCAGATGAAGTTCACCGACACGTTCGCAAACATCACGGGCCCGCTGTTCTTGTACATGATCGGGCCCCCCACGCCCTGCTGCAGTTGCCGCCTGCTGCTGCCACTGCCAGCACGGCGGGGCTGCGGAGTGAGCTGGGGCGGGCCTCCAGTAGCACTGCACAAGGGGCGGTGGCGAGGGGGGATGCCTCACGGCGGTCTCATCACTTCCTTCCTACCCATACACAGTTACCATGACCCGCGCTTGAGTGCTGAGCATGAAAGAAGGAACCATGGCGAGTGCAGGTGTACAGAGCCCAGTACACGATCGCGATGGTGCGTGCACGCACCTGTCCAAAGGGCGATACGCGCCGTCCATGGCCGCCACGCACGGCGACGCCGCTGCGGCGCAGAGGGAAAGAAGCACCTGGCGGTGGGGGGAGAGGAGCACGCGGGGCAGGGGAAGATGGCGAGTTAGCGGCAGTCGTGGCTGTGGCGGAGGCGCGCGGGATCCGATGGGCGCGACAAGGCACAGAGGGGCATGCAGGGCCGCGCGGCAGCAGAGAGGGCGTACCAGTGCCGCTGCCGTGATCTCAGAATGACTCCTGAATCTCATTGCGCCCGCCATCCTTGCTTCTCACTACGTCGCTGTCGTGCTACTCACTGCTACCAAGCCGAGCTTTTATACAACTTCAAAGGCACCCGCAGCCGGCGATCCAAATCGGCCGTACGGGGGTACGTTAGGAGCAACAGAAGGGGCGGGGTGCTGCGTGAGCTGTTGCGGCCTCGGGGACTCCGCCTCCCAGGCGAAGAGGGCGAGCTTTGTCGGTGGAAGTAACAAACTCGTTGCAGCAGCAGTGCTGCGCCTGTTGCTTTCCGCCCATCGGTACCAGGTACACGTCAGTTGCACGTAACGACTGGAATCTAAACAGCGGCAGTGCATAGAATGCCAAGCGACCAGCGCTCCATCCCTGATTGCTGTACCGTCCAGGCCATTCACGAAACGATTGCGTTCGCGAGGCACCCCATGATCCTCGTGTGAGGCTGGGAACGAACCACTCGGAGCCACAGCAGCACTGCAGCGCGCCATGCATTGTGGCCGTGCCAGCGCGGACAAGGGCTGCTGGTGCGTGGCGATTTGACTCTTCGGAACTCGCGATGCTTCGACTTCCGTATCGTGTGAGGGGTAGCAGAACGACGCGACGCGAGCAGTTAGGGTTGGCGTCTCTGTTGAGTCGGCTGACAACAGTTGTACAGTAACTTGTAGCTTGTACCAGTGAAACTCCAATCCTTGAGGCTCCGCTAGTGTAACAGCGATGGCAAGGCAGAGTTCGACGTGAAGGAACTTAATACACGCCACTCGAAGTGCACCTTGATATAATACAAACCATTCCCAGTGATTGTCTCCTTGTAATCCATATCACAGGTTTGACAAGATCAGCTGATTTTCTATATATATAATGGTGATTGACAACAGCATCACTGACAACAATTTTCTTGCTACCCTTCTGCAATCGATGCAAACGCAACACATCATGGCTTCCCATTTTCTTGGGCATCAACACGGACGAGAGCACCGATCGCACTGCGTGAAGCACCTCGTCGTTTTCACCTTCCGTCAGCATTACCTGTCAAACGTATATGTTGTATATTGTGTAGGCTATAGTGGGGTAGCCCATATGGGGTACAACCCAAATTAGGGTTAATACTTGTATCCATCCTGCTGCTAGTTCATTTCATTCTCGCTTGTACTTTCTAACATGGTTTCAGAGAAGGTCCTACCATAGGACCGTATTTTTTTAGGGCCCACCGAATCGCGCTACCCCACACGCCGCGCCGCCCTGTTAGCGCAGCGCTGCCCTGCTCTGCCCTGCGTCGCGCCGCCCTGCGCACGCACTGCCTTGCGTCGCGCTGCCTGCGCCCGCCCTGCCCGCGCGCCGCGCCGTTGCCTCGCGCCCTGCCCTGCCCGCGCACCGCTCGCCGCGTCGCCAGCCCTGCCCGCTCGCCGCTCGCCGCCGCGCCGCCCTGCCCTGCATGTGCGCCGCTAGCCGCCGAGCCGCCCTGCCCTGCCTGCGCGCCGCCCACAGCCGCGCCGCCCTGCCCTGCCCACGTGCCGCCCACAGCCGCGCCGCCCTGCCCTGCCCACGTGCCGCCCTGCTGGCTGCCGCCCTGCCCTAGTCTGCCCGTGTGCCGCTCTGCTGGACGGCGCCCTGCTTTGCCCTGCCTGCGTGCAGCCATGCTGCTAGCGCGCCCAACTACGTTGCCCGCGATGGCTACTCTTAGTGTACTCTCGTTCGATGTAGAAGGCCGTCCAGTCCAGTTCGATGCATGGCTAGATGACCTGCAGCTGAATTTACTGAGCGACTCTAGGGACGGTGTTTCGCTGTTTGACCTCACGCCTGGCGCCTCTCTCGCCCCTCCCGACACAGCTGACAGTGCGACTCGCTCACAGTGGCTTACCCGTGAAGCTGCTGCTCGCCTAGCCGTTCGCAACCACCTGCCGTTAGCCAAACGCGCTCACTTTGGCCAGCACAAAACTGCTAGAGCCCTGTACGACGCAGTAGTCGCTCGTTACTCCTCTCCGGCCACTGCTGCTCTCGGCCGCCTTATACTACCCTACCCTTTCCCCGAGCTGTCCGCCTTTGCCAGAGTCGCCGACCTAGTCACTCACCTTCGCACTAGTGACACTCGCTACCGTGCCGCGCTTCCCGCCGAGTTTCTCACCAAGAACCCTCCTCCCATGTATATCACGCTCTCATTCATCGTCACCCGCCTTCTTGACTCTCTTAGCGCAGTCTAGGACCTCCTTCTCACTCGTGACCCCACAGCCGTCACTGTCGATCTGCTCGAGAAGCACCTCCTTGCAGCTGAAACCGACCTAGTCACTATAGGCGCTTCTCGTGGCACTCCTCGCACTCCCTTCTTTGAGATGTGTCCCCCCTCCCTCGTTGTCCCCTCTGTCGCTTCTGGTGCTGCTGTTGACTTCCTTCGTGCTGAGGAGGTTGGAGCTGGGAGGCGCCGCAGCGGTAGGAGCAAGGGAGGTCAAGGTGGTGGGGGTGACAGCGGTGGAGGCGGTGTTGGGGGCGGTGGAGGCGGTGGAGGTGGCGGCGGTGGCGGTGGGATTGGTGGTGGGAGTGGAGGCATTGGTGGCGGCGGTGGTGGCGGCGGCGGTGGCGGCAGTGGGGGTGGCGGCGGGTGTGGGATTGGCGGCGGTGGCGGTGGTGGAGGCAGTGGGAGTGGTGGCGGGAGCAGTGGTGGCGGTCGGGGTGGAGCTGTTCAGAGGGGAGGTTCTGGCGGCGGCGAGAGGCAGCAGCAGCAGCGTCTGAGCAAGACCCCTTCGCCCCAGCAGCTTCGTGAGTGGTTTGCGCAGCGTGGGGCGTCTGGGGTAGTGGGGCAGAATGATGATATCTTTGCTCTTGACTATGATGCTATCCTTGCTGCCATGTATGCATTGATTGTTAGTGCTGAGGGTGACTGTTATTTGTGTGTGCCGTCCGACCCAGGTATAGAGGTTGCTGCTCTAGGTGCTTCTGAATCTGCTCTCCCTGGTACTGCGCCTGCTGAGGCCTTGCACACCTTCACGCTTGACTCAGGTGCTTCCCGCTGTTTCTTTCGCGACAGTACCACAGTCACACCTCTCCCTGCAGCTGTTGCTGTCAGACTGGCTGGCCCAGTTCTTGCCCGGTCCTCTACTGTTCTCCCGTGTCCGACGGTTCCGTCAGGCTCACTGTCAGGTCTTCACCTCCCTCGTTCTTGTTCGCTGCCCTCCAGGATGTGATGGTCACCATCACCACTACTCCGTTCGACGGGAGAGGTTGGTGATTCGTCGGTGTTCTGGGTCTGGGGATGTCAGTTTTACCACCCCACCTCGCGCCATGTCCTACCCTCTCAGGACGCCACGTTTGATGAGTCGGTTCCCTTTTAACGTCTCTTCCCCTACCGCACTGCGCCTATCCCTCCCCCTCCGCTCTTCCTCGCACCAGGTCCTCCTCCGGTAGACCCCCTCCCCCCTCAGGGTCCTGCTCCCTTAGGTGTGTCCCAGGTAGACCCTGTCGAGCCTGTCGAGGTAGCTGTTGACTCTCGTGCTACTGGGGGTGGTGCTTCTACGGGTGTTGTGTCTGGGGGTGCTGAGCTGTCGGGTGCGGGGCCTGGGGGTGCTCAGCCTGAGCGTGCGGAGCCTGGGGGTGCTGAGCCTGGGGTTGCTGAGTTTGAGGGTGCGGAGCCTGCGGGTGCTGAGCCTGAGCGTGCAAAGACTGGGGGTGCTAAGTTTGGGGATGCTGAGGTTGGAGCGTCCCGAGCGTCCTGAGCCTGGAGTTACTTTGTCTACTAGAGTTCCTCCGGGTGCCTTGTCACGGCGGGAGCCTCTCTCTCCACCGCAGCTGCGCGAGTGGTTTGCTCGGCGCTAGAGCCTTCTGAGTGGCGCTGCTGGAGCTGGGGGGCTTGCCGCTGCAGGCCCTGGAGCTGGAGGCACTGGTGCTGCTGGTCGTGGAGGTGCTGGAGCTGCTGGTTCTGGCGGTACTGGAGCTGCTGGAGCTGCTTGTCCTGGAGGTGCTGTAGGTGCTGGAGAAAAAGGTCCCGGAGGTGCTCGTACTGGAGGTACTGGAGCTGCTGGGGCTAGAGGTGCTGCTGGAGTTAGAGCTGGAGACGCTGTAGCTGGAGCTGCAAGAGGTACTGGAGCAGCTGGTCCCGGAGGTGCTCGTATTGGAGGTACTAGACCTGCTTGAGCTGGAGGTGCTGCATCAGTTGGAGCTGGAGCTGCAGGAGCTGGTGGTACTGCAAGCGTTGGAGCTGGAGACCCTGGAGCTGGAGGCGCTGGCCCTGGGGGTGCTGGTGCCGTCAGTGCTGGTTCTGGAGGCACTATGCGTCCGCGACCGTAATTCGTTCCACTGCTTCAGCAGGTTTAGGGTCTTTTGTCTTCTCCTGGCCTAACTCCTCCCTTACTGTGTCCACCGCCTGACCAGTCGCAGCTGCAATTACAGCCAGCCTCCCCACTACCTGCTCCTTCTCCTTACACTGAGCAGACAGGAGGTCTTACTGAGCATCGTGAGCCTGCGTCTCGTCCTGCCTCGCCTGTTCTTGCTGTTCCGCGTGAGCGTCCTCCTCCTGTCCCCGGCACACACCATATGGCACTTCGTCCATTCTCTGTTGCACAGCGTGTCCCCCTGCCGTCTCCTCCTGCCTCCTCTCTTGCTGATGGCCGTGACCCTAAGTCTGACTTACTTCATGTTGCCAGTCCTACTGTCACACGTCTTCTGGCCACTGTCGTCACTGACCCTTCGTTTGAGTCCACTTCTGCGTCTGCCCGAGTTGATGAGCTTGTTGACTTTGCTGCCGCATGACGTCTCGACTGCGCTGCTAGTCTTGTTGCTGAGTTTGAGTCTGCCTGTCCTCCGTCTGTCGGGGGTGATTGTGCTCTGACACAGACGTCCTTGCGGACAGGCAGGAGGACTTTGAATGTTTTGCAGCTGCTGTACCTCATCTCGTGGCCATGCTGATTGCCCCTGAGGGAGACCCGGATGCACCAGACATCCCGACCCCGCGCTCTTACGCAGAGGGTCCCTACTCCTCTCAGTGGCTGACAGCCATGGACGCAGAGATGGCATCCCGGAAGTCCACAGGCACTTACGT